AGTTTCGGCTTACATTTATAAAACTCAACGAAAGCACGTACCTATTTAGGCAGAGTTATCCATTTTCGGTTATTTAGTGTACAAAATAAACGCAAATTAAATGAGTGTGTACAACATGGCCATTAATGTAGCGGTAAGTTGTACAACTTGCCAGAAAATCCAAGTTTTTTGATCTTTCATACAACCAAGATATAAATTCATTCAACAGGCCCAGGTGCAATCTAGAGCAAAATAACACCAAGTTGAACCAACGGTCGCTGCGCTTATGAGAAACAAACGTTCTTTAAGAAACATCGGGCGAAAATATCAACTGCTCCTGTAGCACTACTACCTTATATAAGTAGCAAGGCCAACTTCATCATCATCACATATGTTCAACAGAGTATACCAACGAGGGACGAGTTATACAAGGGGATAGCGAGAGCACAAAACTACTCTTAGAAAATTACACGCACAATGACAAACATGAACAAATGTACAACCAACACAAAATTTTTGACAATCAGTACAGTACGCTTTTATATCAACGAGCAGCTTATTAGATTTGTTTTCGTTTGTACTACATATGTGCATACCCTGCAGCGGAAATACTAGTACAGAACTAGTGAGTTCACTAGTTTTCGGGAGTCGAATACCGGTACCTTGCAAATCTACCAGCCATGCTTTCTACTGTCGCATTTAACATGGAGTTGTCCTAGGAGGTGACAATTGACTCCCGCTGCGTAACTTTTCACTAGTACTTGTAGTAGTAACATGTAACCTGTAACCGAACCACTTTTTTTCGTTTTGCACTTCACAGATACTTTTTCACAATTAAAAAAAAAAAAACGAAAATAAAGATTTTAAATTATATGTTCTGCATAGTGAGATTTGAACTCGAACACTTTCGGTCGCAATTAATTGCAGCCAGCATCTTTGCGCACCCAGCTACAGGCACAACATAAAAATGTGCTTTCAAATGTTCGCTTTGAATCAAGCCAGGCGACGATTTGTTCAAATTTAAATTTGTCTTTGCTATTGTCTTTGCTATTTATTTTCCTGTGATCGAACGTACAAAAGCTGCAGCGTGGCGTTGTTTGAAATTTTATTATTGGGCTGAACTGATTCTTGATAATTTTAACAAAATTGTCACTTTAACGCGCTATATCTCAGTCGTTTGTGTATCGATCGATTGTGAAATTTTCACACAATAAACTACAAACTATTGCAAAGAATTTAAGTTTAACACCACTTCTTAATACTCACTACAAATAAAACTACAGGTTCATAACTTTTTTATGAGAATTAAGAGGGTGTTTGTTTTCAAATGCAAAAGCTGTGTTATAAAGTTTGAAATAAAATTTTTGTTTTAAAAAAGTGTTGTAGATGACTATGTAGGGAAGTTTTTGCGAAAGTTTCAGAATTAAACATCAAGTAGTTGCAAAGTTATAACAATATTATTATGACTCACACGGTTTGCAGATTAGGGCGCTGCGCTCTAAAAGGCTTTATAACTCGGAAAAGTAAAAAAAGTCCTTTTTTATTAGTGATTTATATGTAAAAAGACATGATCTTTCGATTGAGATAACTAAAAACAATATTAAAAATGACCATAATTCAGAAAAAATACAAATAAATTTTCGTTCAGAATTTTCACCATGAAAATGGGAAAATTTTGGAAAACGCTCAGTGCCATCGCATAGCCCGTACAAAAATCTATAGAAATCATAGTTTTCGAATCATTTTTCCTATTTTCTGTTTGCTTCGCAGCTAGTCGAACTGTAGCTTGTTTTGCACCGCTCAGGGCGCAGGGATATTTGACGTGAATTGCCCCCAAAATAATTTAAGAAATAGAAATGTTATGTAAAAAGGGGTATCTACATATGTATTGCTTTATTTTGGTACTTTTAAGTCCGATATTTGCGTGGTGGTCACACGAGGGAAACATAACATGTATAAGTATTCAAAATGTATTATTTGTATTTAGATGATAAATAACAAATTCCTTTATGTAATAAGGGAGCACTATTATATTAAAACGGCCAATAACTTTTAGAAAGTGCAATATGTAACCAATATCTCGATTTATTACTACCTGGATCATAATATGCTATTGGGACTAGTACGAAAGCGACAATTGTCTCCGAACCCGCTGCAGGGTATATACATGTACACCAACATATGTACATACACAAACATATGTACATACGTACAAATATATATACATCCATTCAAAATTATGTACATACATGAAAACATTGCTGTCCATAAGTACATACATATGCCCATCAGTACATCAACGAAGCCCGTTTGCTTCATCATAAATATATCCATACAAACATATGTACATATGTACGAATGGATGTAGGGCTTGTTCGAGTTGTAATCACAACCGCAGTGTTGCCCGAAGTATTAAAGTATCGCGTTCTGTGTGAATTTCTAGCAAAGTATTATCAGTTGGGCAGTTGCAACAATGTTGCAATTTTTCATCAGTACGGCAGTAATGCCGCTTTTATTACGTGCCTCGAACAGGCTCGCTAAGCACGCTTGCATCATATATACAAGTTACGGACGTTAAGTCCGTATAAGTCAAAAAAATTAATTGGGCCAGCCGCCCAA